GGTTGCATGATGTGGTTCTCTTAGCACTTTTTAAGTCTCAGCCAGCAGCACTGGAAGAAATCTATCTCCTTAAAAGGGCATGTAATTTCGTTGGAGGCGAATGAGAATTTGCAACCGAGCAGTAGCTGTTTTGTTTTGAACCAGCTCTGCAAGAAATTACAACAAAATAACAGCCCAAGAAAAAATCTTGAGCTGTTATTTTGGCTTCAACGAAATGTTACAATTAGCATATCACCTCGTAATGTACTGAACTGGTTCATGGCCGTGCACTAGAAGTTTTTAAAAAAATCGTAATTTTTCTAATTTATTTCGCTTGTTGATATCTTAGCATTCACGACGATACAACTGTTAAAGAGGAACAACCAGTACAAAATTTTTCTTTGAACTGCTAAAATGCCAGGAGGTCCATCAAAATCCAATATTGTTTTTGATCAAATACATCAAACCTCCTTGACTGAAAAAATTTGTGCTAATTCGATGTCCTACGAATATCGATGATTTTTTTTTCAAAAATGTGACTTTTTATTCACCATCCTATCTATTATTTTTTAGTAAAATATGTAGAACATTGCTTTTGTACGACGAAAAGTATTAAACTCAGTCTTTATGGACATTTTCAGAGGATTTTCTATGTTTTTGGTGCAAGATTCATAGGCTAATTTAATATTGTTAATTATGACCAAAACTACATAAAAAACATCAACTAAATTCATTATTATTACCCCTGACTTTCTTTGCGAACAAGACCTGATGGTGTTCGGATAATTTATATAATTCTAATCTTTCAAGTTTATTTTTGCGTTTCAAAATTCTACCGTGCTTACCACTTCTATTCACGTTTACTAGCTTGCATTGAAGCCCGCCTTTAAGCGTATCGAAATATTCAAGCAAAATATTTTTTAAAATTATTTTTTAATGCGTGAATATTTTCTCAAAGAAGAAAGCAGTTTTCGGAACAAGACAAAATCAAAATTACTCAGTTTTTCTTGTTTAAAAAATAACATTTTCTAGTTGATAGTGTGGCCATTTGCCTACTAATGCGCAAATAGCATTAGATTTTATAGTTGAACGCGAAGGCTCCTTTTCAAGAAACCTTTACCAGGACGAATTTAAAAAGCCAAACATAGCAACTGTGAACTGCCAGATGGCAAAAAATTATTTTCTCAAGCAACACGAACCACGACGTTTATGTATTTGTATGTGATCATTGAAGAAAGCGACGATGTCGAAGCACGCAAGCCGTAATTAACATCTCATTCTGGAAGAAGCGTAGAACTAGGCACAGAGAACTGAAAAGGCTATTCTTGTGAGTGCCCGTGCTCAAGTCATTTACTGCGACGTTTAGAGGAGGGGGGGGGGGAGAGAGTGAAGAACGAGGTAGCGAAATTTTTACGAGATAGGTCCAGAGGTACACAACGACTTTGGCGAAAATAGACAGGAAAACTAAAGGTTCATATAAAGGACGCGGGAATTTACAATGCTCGTAAGAAGCCAGAAACATGTATTTTAAATAAAGTACAAGTAATATCAGTGTCACGAAAACTCTTTCGTATTCGCACGTTGAATTTGACATTTCTGGAAATAGGGCAGTCTAAGTACGAATTCAATATTGTACCTTCGACTAAGTGAGTTCCATAGCTGACGATGTGAACTGAAACTGAATAACAGCAGTCCCTCAGCTCGAGGGTTACTCGGGGGGGGGGGGGGGGGAGGTTGCCTTTTTTGCCCATCTTTTTGTCTTGATTAGCAGCTACGAAAGGAATCACGGCAAGTATACATAAGGATTTTTGATACACCTATATATTTGGTTGTATAGGAACCTAATAGTATTTTTTTGGAAACGGATCTGATCTTTGTTGTTAAGAATTTTCAACTTCTTTTGCTTCACATTTTATGTAAAACATTTGTGCGACTGTTAGAGGGTCATCTGTGAAGCTAGCTTTTCTCGAATTGTGATTCATGCTCCAGTAAAGGAGTAAAAAAATAAGATTTTCTTGGTGGAAACGAATTCATGAGAACGGTGTTCTATCCAAAAAACGAACTGATAGTGAATTCAATAAACAATTCGTCTTGAGATATAAAAGCGAATAATAATACATATTGCGGAAGCAACATCAAACTCAGTACTTGGAAATCGAGTTTGTCAGTAAGGCATGGAATGACAATGAGCTGTGGGAATAACAATTTTTATACTTGGAAATTTTGTTCTATATCGATAATTAACGTCTATGTGACGTTAGGTTCCCATTCACCTGGCGTAATTGCACTACAACTTGAATTTATGGTGTTTGTTCTCAAGTCAGGTAAAGTTTTGAGGCTGCTTTAGACCCAAATACATTCAGTCAATTAACATTAGGTAAATTTTGTTCGGCTTTCTATGTCACAAAAAATTTTCATCGAAACACTTTATCGTGTCAAACGGTTCCTCGACCAAGGTTTTTTTTCGGGCGGGGGGGGGGGGGGGAGGGGGGGGGATGTCAGTGAAATTTCAAACTTATCATTCATGCCAAGACTCAAAGGAAAACTGTTAAGTATTTTGTGACTATAGGACTTAATCTAATTCTAAACGAACCACAAGAATGAAATTTATGTCTTCTATCGGATATGTTTACTCCATGCAAATAAAATTAACAAAACTGTAAGCAACCCAAAGTAAAAGGGTTTTTGAGATATTATGGCTTTATTGGGAATAATTACTCATATCTTTTTGCGCTTGAAGCGAGTTTTAGTTTAGCAATCAGCTAGGAATAAGTTTACCTATAAATCTTGCGCAAAATAATTGAATAATCGTAATTTTTAAATTGAAGAAACACATTGAATTCAACGTATTTATTTAAATAAAATCAATTCAGGTATTCAAAAGAGGACATGCATTTTCCATGAGTGCTTTGACAAGAATACATGGTATATCACGGAGACAGATTGTATTTTTTTTTTCAGATTTTGGATCCACATGATAGAGAAATTATTGTGAAACATGTTAGTGTTGAAAGAATGTAATTTTTCCAAAGATGTAGAAATATCGAGGAATTTTGTGAAAAAGGTGCAGAACTGAAGAGCGTTCTTTGAAGGCTTAGCTCATTTGCAAACACATGGAAAATGCAAATTTCTCAGCTTAAATGGACGAACAGGAAAAGTTCCCACGAAAAGCCGAGAAACACCTCGATTTTTGCGGATAACCAGGTCAAGAGCAGCCGAATCCACAAATCGCAGAGATGTCTCAATAAACAGCTTTTTATGATGCCAATATGCACGAACAGTCGGCGGCGCAAATCTGCATGTTGAGCATTAAATGAAGGGTTGAAGTGGAGATTTGCGCGAATGTTTTTCTTAGAAACATGAGTAGATACATGTGAGAAGAGAGAATAGTGCAAATGGTCGGACGATGCATTTCGATGCAAATGAGGAAGGGGGCTAGCCGACGACGATTCGATACGTTCTGATGCCGACGACGACGACGATCCCTTGATAAAAAACAGTGCTAGAGATGGCTTCCAATTTGTAGCCGATACGAATGCATGGTGACAAGCCTGATTATTCATGGGTTTCATTAAAGTAACGTCGATTCTTTTTCTTCATCGATACCGTAGAAATTGACGCCGTAAAATTCGTTTTTCCTTGTTGAGAAAATCCCACACGCAACAGTGACACGAAGCTGATGAAAAATTTCTCAGAAAAACGTTTTGGGATGTGAATTTCTATGATCTACATACTCTGGATTCAACGGCCATTATAACGTCCCCATGCACGAAGAGGTTAGCTATAGAGCAAAAAAAACTTGAAAAAATGTTAAATGTAAGTTCCATTGCCAGTTCTCCCGCGCGCGCAGCTTATTGAGGCATTGTTTCCGCGCAATTGTTGTGGACACCGCAAGAGCACTATGTTGACCAATAAATCTACTTTACTACAATTCTGGTTGATAACTCATTTCATACTGTAAAAAAAAACATAAATCCCTGTAGCCTAGAAGTTTTTTTGAGCGAGATGCTCATTTCAGAAAAAAATCAAAGGTTTGGGAATACCTTAGTAAAAGACAGCGAAAACAAGAAAATTGCGGATGTTTCACGTTCAGTGCTAAATTCCAAAAAGAACGTAAAATTTTCTTTAGACTTTTCACATAATTACAAACTCACTGTTTTTTTTTTCAAAAATCAACTGCGAAGCATCTTGGCACGCAAAGCGTTTATATCTTGCACTCATTTATTTTTAAGAAATGAAAAAATGGAATAGCTAATAAACGCCCTTCACCACCGATGAAAATTGCCAAAGATTCTGTAGAAATTTTTCTTAATAGTTTTTTCTAGCTTTGTACTGTTATGCTTTCAAAGCAACCTAATGAAGAGTGCAATCTTCTTTTTTCAAGTATGCGCTAATGCGGTCATTTGCAAGCCTCTATTATCCGTTGGAGAAAATAGCTCTTTAGGATATTCGATGCTATCTAAGGTCTCTAAGAAGGTTAATGCCATTAGGGAACTAATAGAATAGGAGCAAACCACATTGGATATTTCAAGGACATCTTTGCGGAAGTGTCTTGACCAGTCTGCCGGAAAAAAAGTGATCAAAGAGAAAGATCAAATTGAAATGATATAGATTTCATTGCGCTAAACACAAATCAAAGAAAAAGAAAGAAGAAAATAGATGAAATCTCAAAATCAATTAGAATGGCCGGTGTAGCACGCAATTTGTGAACTTCGCACTTTTGACTTTGGATTATGTCGATAGATCAAAAAAGAAACTGGCAGGAAAATCAATGCTACGAAGCAGGAACTTCTCAAACAAAAATTACAAAAAGAAAAAGAAAAGCCAGCTTATTAAAACATATCAGGTCTCACAGCATTATTTGCTTTTGAAAATTTTCAAGGAAAAAAAGCTTCTATTCTATTTAGGTCTGAAACTGGTCGCTCTAGAATTTGTGCTAGAAGCCACAGATCACGAGAATTTGTGGGAAAATGTCAAAAAGCATCAACCAAAAAGCTCAAAGCTTTCTTTTATAAACTCACCATCCAGAGTTGCTTCATTATGACGTTACTGTCCGTACCTCCAGCCAAAACAATACTTTTCTGGGGGGAAAAGTGCGCTTGATGGTGAGGTTTTCAGGAGAAAATTGCTCTTGACGGTGAGGCTGTTCCAAAACAATTGCATCGTAAGGAGTCTTTCTTAAGCCACCTCGTTAGGGAGGCAGATTTTAAGCTTATTGTCGAGCCCATCACGTAATTGAAATGTGTCTAGAGGTTTAATACTTGAATATTTTGCTGCTTTGTCATGAATTTATTTCCTACAGTTATGAAGGGGTTCATTTGCGCGCACTCATCAGAAGGGGAGGGGAGGATGGGGGGGGGGGGGGTGAGGAGAGAACCTGTACAGCGGCAATTCAAAATTCAAAAAGCTTTTCGTCTTTTTTCAGCATTTTTTACTGCTTCGCAGAACAGTCTTAGAGGTCGGCCATATCCTATGATTTTCTGCGATTCCTGTGGTTTAAGTTGCCCATAGAGCGCGAAAACTAGCCTCTACGATAAGGATGATGCTGATGCACTAAAGTCAATATTTTTTGCATCTTTTTCTGCTTACAGCCAACGAGAGCTCAATCTCGTTGAGAGCACAACAAAGAAGAGATAAGTGTAAGTGGTCACTGGTTATTGTAATCTTGCAATGAAGGTAGAAATAAGCGCGCTCCATGGATAACGCGAATCACAGAGAAACCATGAATTCACGAGAGTCGCAGAAACTACGGTAACCACAGAAATTACAGAAACCCGAGAGCAGTATGGCACAACCTTTACACACAAAAGAAGACACTTTTCGTATATATAACATTTCCATGACATCCCCCCCCCCCGCTCCTCAGCTCGTCCTTTCCCCATGATGAACTCTGAACATTGGCAATTATCCCGATTTGCTTTCTTGACCCAGTCGGCTTTATGAATAATTCATTTTTGCCGTGCGTAGCTGAATCGCTCGTCTGAGTTTCTGCAGCAAGAGAATCGTCAACTCACTCTGACAAATGACACTGGCTATATTATTATTTCAGAAAAAAAATATGACTGCGCAATTCTGTGGGAGCCAAAATTCTACTTTGAGAACTTGGTAACAGGATACGTCCTCATAGTTTCTCAAACACATTAACCATATGCATGAGAATTTTCGACGTTAAAAAGATGAAAATGTTTTATATAAGGGAAATTGTGGTCCACAACTAGCATTTATCAAACTGGAAACCATTAGATAGGTAGTGATGTCCTTGAACACAATTAGAAAGCGTTGGTAAAAGGATAAGGGGTGACAAAATTGATAAATCAGCAAATCAGTGAAACAAAGAAAAAAACTCAGCATCTATCTAGAGATAGGAACGAGACGGATAAGTTTGCTTCATGAATAGTTCTGCTTTTTGTGTATCTACAGGGGCGATAGGATTACTGTAAAGTAACCGCAACTATTTAAAACATTGATAATTTCTTAATCAATTTCAACCCAAAGTATTAGGTCGCTACATGAGTTTTACTACACTTGACGGAGAAATCTTCATACATTTATCAAACAATATACATTTCTAAATTGTGTGGAGCATCGTGTATTTTCAGGACATACATGCTACACACAAAAAATCCAATTTTTGAATTGAAATTTTCACGAGTCATTTTTGGCAAATTTCCAGCTTCCATTCTTGAAGAGCTTGAACTTCTAAACCGCCTTCGTTTTAATACTCTCACGAAAGTACGTAGAAAGTCTAAAAAGATGAAAGAGAAGGATGAGCGAATTTTCAAACAAAGGAAGAAAATAGAGATTGAAGTGCCGTCAGAGAAATGCTTTGAATCTTCCTCAACACATTTCGTGAAGGAAAAAAATAAGGCTCGTGGATAGCTTTTCGTCCTATCCCCGTATATGCCAAGTATGAAGCTTGATTTTCTCGGGTTTTTTAGATGGAGACTAAGAAAGCGTAAAAAACTTAAGTAACAACATGATGTTAATGAAAAAAAGAAATAATCAAAAAGTTTTCCTTGACGTGACGTGCTTATAAGGTCAAACGGCACCCTCAGAATTTTCCAAACTAAAATTTCTGCGCTGTATCTTTGATGCTCTAGCCTATGAAAAAATCTAATTCTTGCAACGTGATTATCTCAAAGCAAAAATTAAGAAGTCCCCCTTGAGTTATGCTCAACAGCGTACATAATCCAAAACGACACAATGACATCACCCCCTATTCAGCTACTGAAGTATTTACTGACCTCGTCCTGCCTCCTCTCCAGACCTCTATGCGAGAGCGAAAAAACTAAGAATAACAAATATATTAGAAGAAAATCCAAGAGAAGTGAAAAAAGCGAAGAGTTTAGTTAGGAGAAGAAGGAAGTATAAATAGTTATGAAAGCATAGGACGGTGCTGATGACGAATTTTATTCATTTATTTATTTATTCATTACCCTCGTGGAGCATGAAAAAGGAGAAAGAAAATTATAGTTAGTCCAACACATACACTTTAATACCAACTATTCACTCTGTAGAGATAAAAATACAGGGTGTCCCAAAAAGATGTGCACACTGTTTGATCGTTAATAACTCTCTTGCTTTCACGTCTTTTGCCGAGCTTGAGGTACCCTTCTACAGAGCGAGGATAAACTTAGATTTACAGTATGGAACGAATCACCGATCGCTCTTCGTTACTGTAGGATCACGGTATGAACTCTCAGCATACAGCGTCACTGTGGAATAAGCCTTTTGATGAAATAACTTCAAAAAAATCTAAAAAATTGTGTAACAATGTTTTCAGGCGTGCTGATTTTACTACATAACTTTCCACCAATTTTTCGAGCTTTCTTGATGGCGTATTCACATTTGTGACAAACACTGGAAAATCAGTTGTTACCCTAAATCTGATATAACTCATGAAAGAAACAGTGTACTGACGTGCAATTTTCATATTTAGAATTAGCAACTTTGATTGACCCAGTTCATGAGTTTCTGGCTTTTGGCTTTTCTTTAGGCAAAAAACTGCTTCTGATGGCTCAAAACCTTTTCCGAAATTCCTACCGTAATCCTACGGTAATGAAAAGCTGCTTATAAATCGCTCCATACCTTAAATCTAAGTTGAACCTCGCTCTAAAGAATGGTACCTCAAGCTTGGCAAAAGACATGAAAGCAAGAGAGTTATTAACAATTAAACAGTGTGCACATCTTTTTGGGACACCCTGTATATTATCTCTAAATGTTTTGAGAGAAAACTAGTATAAGTAAGGCAGAATTTAATTCGTACTGTTTAAGGAAAGTGTGGGTATTTTTTTTTGATTTCCGGAAATTCGGAGCGCTAGTCGGAAGTTTCGCAGAGGAACGAGATAATCAAACATCCGCGGAACGATTGGTAATTATCTGCACTTCAAAGGGATGTTCTCAAAGGATGATTTCCGCAGGATATGTAGTTATGAGAAATTAGACAAAAGTTCCGCAGGTGCCCCTTACGGAACCTCCTGAGCGGAATCTCCGGACGAGATAATACCAGAGCTATCCGAAGAGGGTGTGCGGAACTCTCAAGCAAGTCCCGCCTACCCACCTCACCCTTTTGTTCACAAATTCCAATAACCCAGCCCTGTGCGCAGCCGAATTCGCAATAATGTGACTAACCACGAGAAGAAGTATTAGAAGAAAAATCTGAGGGATGCGTGACGAGTAACAAGCGGGAAAATCTTATTTGAATAATGATTCGCTTGGTTACTTCGAATTGATTACAGCGCTTGCTTGAGCTCTCTCTCTCTCTGTGACGCTTCGTTGAACGGTTTTTGTGGATTCGGCTTGAATATATTCGGATAGTATGTCTAATTGAATTAGCAGACACTCAGGTTGACTTATGCGTGAGATTTGAAAAAGAAGAAGAAGAAGAAGAAAAGAATGGTCGTTGGCCTTGGTCTCTTTCAGTCATTCCCCCCCCCCCCATTCTCAAAATTCTGTTTTTTCATTGACAAATCTAACAAAACATTGCTGACAGCGGGTTTCTAGTAAAAGAGTTTGTTTGATGAAACTTTAATAGTTTTGCCTTCTCGAGAAAAAAGTATTGTAATTTTATGCTTCTCGTTATATACCAAAAAACTTTTTCTCTTTCAGTTTGTATGGGACAAGGAATATAAGGAAATAGGCATTCACAAATTTTTAAGCCACACTGTCTTGATCATCAAGCTTGAAAGGAACTGAATACGCTTACTACATACACAACTTATTAAAGGACTAAGCGCCTACAGTACCCCCTGCAGATATGAAACGCATCATTATTATTGAAGACAACTGCGTGCCAAACTCTACTATGTCTTGCGGGGGCCAAGAGATTACCAAGTCATTGCTTATATCCTCCTGGATTACATTCCGGGTACCAATTTACCATTCTCGGAGGGTAGATGGCTTAGCTGGCTCAGAGCCAGAGATCAAACTTTGGCCCCAAATGTAATAGGGGAATTTCTGAGCTACGCCATTCATCTCTTTGCAAATTCTGCAAAGAAAGAGGGATCCTAAGGAAAAGATTGAGTTTGCCATTTGACTTTGAAATTTGCTAGCAAATTTCATTTTCGGGAAAAATGTGATCAAAGCGTTTTGATGTAGTCACGGTGCAATTCATTGTTTCTACATCGTTTTGGTGGTACTTGCCTAATTATTTTATTCCTGTTTTTTCTTCCTGAAAGCAAAGAACAGATTTTCGACTTGACAAATTAAAAGATTTATAGATAGACTAAATAGGAGAGTAAGAAGAATTCAGTAAGACACAGAAGAAAGTCGTGATTGCTATCAGCGATTCGGTATCTAATGAGCTCATTCTGGGGAAAGGGGTATTCTAACTATATCGGATCCACTCTCAAAAAATCAATATTTTTTTTCCGAGATTGGCAGTTATAAATAGCACAGCTATCAAGGGGGGGGGGGCGACGGAACATCTTGATTTTTTGTCTACGATTTTCACTTCCGCGTCTTGATGTTAATTGCTCAGTCAACTGAATCGCTAAACACATCGTCGACAATCACAACCGTCGACGTAGTTGCCCTCGGA